TAGGGGTTCCTTTCAGGGTTTAGGGTTTAGAGTTCTTTAAAGGAGTAGTTTTAAGTGACCCTCAACCCTGAACCCGAACCCCTAAGCCTCAAACCCTTGAAACCTAAACCCTCAAGCCCAAACCCTCAACCCGAGGGTCCGACCTTCTTAGGGTTTAGGGTTTAAGGGTTTAGGGTTTAGGGTGTAGGGTTTATTAGGGTTTCGAAGAACTTTGAGTTCATGTTGAATCTCCAGAAGCACCTTCCCTCGGTTGCTTGAGGCATTGTTCAGGTCGGATTCGGGTTCAGGCCTCATTCCTTTAGACATTCCTTCAGTCTGGGACATTTTCAGGTAGGTAGTTACCGTTATAGGAGCCTTATAGAAGGTCTATAGACTTTATAGAAGCCTTATAGAAGCCTTATATGCCCTAAACTCCCCCCCTGCAGTTTCCTTTAATTCAGAGACGACGAAACTTTCGAGTTCTTGGGTTCAGAAACCCTAACCCTAAACCCTAAACCCTAAACCCTAAACCCTAAACCCTAAACCCTAAACCCTCTAAGCCGCCGCAGGATGTTTGATCAGGGTTGGTTTCAGGGGCCCTTAGACTGGAGGCGATCTCTCCACCGAGACCCTAAACCCTAAACCCTAAACCCTAAACCCTAAACCCTAAACCCTAAACCCTAAACCCTAAACCCTAAACCCTAACTCTCAACCTAAATCCTAAACCCTAACTCTCAACCTAAATCCTGAACCCTGAACACTAACACGAAAAACACAAAACCCTGAACTGTAGTTCCTATTCCCTAAATCTTAACGGATTTAGAGCATCGACACTTCCTTCCTAGAGACTCCCAAAGCCCGTAGTTAAGGAGCATACCTTAAATCATAGAGGGATCCTTATTATGATTCAAAGCATATTCCCTAACTCAGCCCCAAACCCTAAACCCTAAACCGTGGCATCGACACTTCCTTCGAGGTGCGACCCAGCACCTCGAGCTGCAGCAGCTGTTGAGCCTGCGGAGCGCGGCCGACCGCGCCTACGCCCAGGCCCCCACCCAGGGTTGAGAGTTTAGGGTTTAGGGTTTAACCCTAAGGGTCCAAAGGGCACAAGGATAAGGTACTTGGGTTTCGGATAGTAGTTATGTAGGTTCATGTTTGACAGAATGTTTGACGAAGTATGTGATTATTAGATACTTGGACCGGTAAGGGTCCTATAGAGGGCTTTAAAGTGTCCTTTCTAAAGCGCTGTTAAGGTATGATCAGGATAATATGCCTGAAAGCATCGAGGGACCCTTGGTGGAATTTACGTCCTAAAGTAAGAGGGTGTGCGAGTCCCGGGGCCGGCATCAGGCGACATACCGTGACCCTAGAATATAGGGTTTAGGGTTTAGGGTTTAGGGTTTAGGGTTTAGGGTTCTAGTACATGTTCGTGGATAACCTGATTTATGGCTAGCATCCTATAATGGAAACGAAGTAATGCAAAGAAAGATACTGCATTGTAGGTTTGTTGTTTACGATTGAACCCAAAACCCAAACCCCAAACCCTAAACCCAAACCCCTCAAACCCCTAAAAACCAGAAACCTTGGACATCTGCACCCCAGAACCCACAAACCCTGAACACAAAAATTGAAAGACGTAAACCGGCTCTGGCCACTCGAAACTCAGCAGCAACAGAAACGCGAAACCCAAATCGATAGGCAACCCCGGCATCCAGGTGTAGGGTTCAGGGTTAAGGGTTCGGGATTGAGTTTAGGAACCCCCCAACCCGTGAATATGAGCTGCAACCTGTAACCTTGACGATGAAGGGTCCTAAAGCAGAAGAGGCTGAAGACTGGAAACCTTAAACCCTAAACCCTAAACCCTAAACCCTTTTAGCCCCTCAACAACCCTAGACGCTGTGCAAACCAAAGATTGAGCATTTTCGGAAGTCATAGTGAAAATCTGCTTATAATCACGGGTCTGACTTTAAAGCCCGAAAGGGCCTCAAAGGGAAAAGCCATCCGCCAGATCTCCTCATGCCCAAAAGCCCTGACGTCTAAACCCTACACGTGACCCAAAAGACCTACTTCGTTCAGGGTTTGTATAGGGACTGCATACTAGGGGACGTTAGAGACGTAGGTGTTCTGGCGTGCAGGCTATTTAGAAACCCCGAACCAGCCTAAACCCTAACCCTAAACCCTAAACCCTAAACCCTAAACTTAGGCCCCAAACCCAAAACCCAAAACCCTAAACCCCTAAATGCCAACTTAACCCTTAGCCGCAGGCGTTGGCAGCCGGACTGCCTTCCAAGGACCTTGGAGCGGTTTAGGGATTAGGGTTTATTGTTTAGGGTTTAGGGATTAGGGATTAGGGTTTAGGGTTTAGGGTTTAGGGTTTAGTAGATTTTTCGGATCCGCAGGTTCCTTTAAGGGTTCCTTTAAGGGAACCCTAGGGGTTCCTTTCAGGGTT